CGAGACCTTCACCCCAGACATGAGGTGCATCATGGGCGAGTCTCCTGCAGTGCAGGGCTACTATGTCCTAGTGGGAGTGAACTCTGCTGGCCTGTCGTTTGGAGGAGGGGCTTGAAGGTAAGTCTTTTTGCTTAGATTCTGCTTGCTGGGCTCTGCTCTGCTTCCTAGAGTTGCTCGTTACTAATATGGTGTGGAATGTGTGTATAATCCGGTGTATTGATAGTAAGGGGGAGATACACATCATTTGAGGGTTGTCCCCTTTAAGGAATCATTGTGGGATATTCTAGCAATGTCACTGTGCACAGGGTTTCAGGAACCCTTATTTCAGAATTACCACAGAGCCTGTGGGATGTACTTTTGTATTTAATGTTGACCATTCGATGATCTGGAAATTTAGCAAGTGGTTTTGGAAGACAGATTCATGCGATTATCATAGACATGTTTGCCTATCTCAATTCACAGATTGTAGCTGCTCAACAATAGGTCAGTAAACAAAGACCAGTGACTGTATTTTTAGATTATAGGGAAAGATCATGGGTGCTCCTCTCCATTTTCTTCTCTTCCTACTGTGTGTGCAAGAATATATAGAGAGCCCATTTTTCCATGCCAGCGTGGGCTTTCACATGGATAGGGGATATGTCAAGTGCCAGGTTCCTTACTGTGCAATCAACCGTAAGGCAGGATGGGCGGTCAGATCCAGTGACTGAGACCATAACTTCAGATAATTGGGGACTTTGTCTACACCTGCCAGCCCTACACAAAGGGTAACATAATGCTTATGTCTTACCTTGGTTTCCACATTCTTTTTTTTTTTTTTTTTACGCTTTGGTATAAATGGTTTTATGGGGAGTGCTTACCCCTTGTGATGGCAAATACATCAAGTTGCTAGAGATGAAGAACATTTCACAAGTTGCTATGACCAGAGTTACTAAAATGTCTCTTTATTCATTTACAAACTTAATAACATGAAGAGAACATCTTAATTGGAATCTGGCTTGAAAGAAATACAGGGCATGATGTTAATACCGCATTCATAGAGGCAGAAGTGCTCAGTCACCCTGGGTACCTAAAGTCACCAGGGCTCCTGAGAAAGATCCCATGCCCTAAAGTGCCTCACATGTCCTCAGCAGCACCTGTCACTGCACACTAAGGGGCTGAGCAAACTGCATATTTACAGATGTAAAGGAGGAGTTACAGCACTGTACAATAATTACAATGGCATTTTCCTGTATCCTAAGAGTAGACCGGAGAGTGAAGTGTTAACTGTGCTGCTAGAAACCCCTTGATTGAAACAAGCTGTGGAAACTTTCTATCCCTGTTTGATATGGGGAAGGGAAGCTATGGGGGGGTGGCTGGGGAAACCCTCAGACTGAGCGAAGTTTCTTTTCATCCTTCCTGTCTACACCTACCATGGGACATTCTGGTGTAAGGCACGAGAACCGGGCTTGGAGAAAGGTGCTCCAAGCTCCAGTTCCGGGTGTGCAAAGGAAATCCTGGCATAGATCTTTTGAAACAGATACTAAAAATACCTTCCCCACCCCTTGTAATTTCTGTCCTTTAGAGACAGAAAACCAAGAAGGCAGAAGGTTGGCGAAGGATAAAAATAGGTACATCTAAATATGAGGAAGAAAGCCCATGAAGAAATGTGTAATTCTCCAAGGGATGCAGATTCTCTGCTCAGAAGTCAAGAATCATATTATACAATGACTAAACTCTGGTGTTTAATGGACAAAGAGAAGGCAAAGACATACAAAAATAGTTCTCTTGAAAAATAGTGCATCTGTAGTGATGAGGGAGTGTGAACCCAGGTCCTGTACGGATGATGGAGGAGCCTTACAACTCAGCACCTTAACATGGAGGCCAGGGTGGGGGTCGCGGGGAGAGGCACAGCCAGGAGACCCAGAGCTTGCTCCCAGACTCTGTCACCTACCCTATCATCCCCTCTGACAATTCTTGACTCGTGCAAATTTTCCCTTTTTCATGCTGATGAAAAGCTGCTCCTGGCAAGTTTGGGAGGGATGTGGGTTAAGGGTGGTGTGCAGAAAGGAAATGAAAACCATGGAAAGTTCTTCAGTACTAAGCACTAGTGACCAAACCCCTACCTCAGATGCTAAAGGGGACCCTTGCTGATGATACTGACCATGCAGCTGCAAAGATACAAAACACTGAACCTGGTCGCTAACCCTTGAAAGCAAAGCCAGTGCAGTTGTACCAGGACACAGCCTTCTGGGGTCAGAACCAGGACTACAGCTTATGGAAGATTCCCTTTTATCTCCCTTAGGTTGTCAGAGGATGGTGAAGACTCAGATGCCAGCACATGCGTTCATCAGGCAGAGGATAAGAAGAGCCAGAAATCAAGGTGGTGGGTTCTCCCTTCAGTGAAGCAAAACCGCTTTTAGAAAACTGTCATTCCTGCCACTTCCATGGTGGGGAGGCGGGGTTAACGTTTCAAATGCATTCAGAGGCAGGGTAAGGGAGAAAGGTGGAGTTACTTTCCACTTTTAGAACGGAAAGAGGTAAAACTGTTGGTGTGTTTAAGAAGGTAGAATCCAGGGACAGCATGTCTCCTGGTGAGAATCCCAAGTAGCTGGACTCTCCTCCTGCAGAAACGGGATAACTGAGGTTACTCACTGAGCTTAACGGTCTCTGGGCCCCTGTTCTGAACAGCATCACTTGTATTTGGGGGTACAGGGCCCCCCAGCCGGGCACAGGACATCAGGTAGGCTATCCAAGCAGGTAGATCTTGTCCCTTTTTGCTCTGTGTTCGTCTGAGGCTGGCACGCTTTCTGTTTCCAGATAAAACAAGATTGTCCAGTTGAATATGTGGACAAGACAGAAGAACACAGAGCCCCTCCCTCAAGAGACCATAAGAAGTGACGAAGGATCATTTCACAGAGAAAAAAGTACCAGCCATCTGAAACCCAAGTCCCGCCACGCATTCACAAAGCATCCAGATCCTTTGAATCTCTAGGGACAGAGGAGCAGACACACAAGGCAAACCCATGATGGGAACGACAGACTGCAGGATGTTCTGTCAGGTATGCTGAACTCAGGAACGAGTCACCCACTTCAGGGTTAGGACCAAAGAGAGACAAGTGCCAGATTCACATTGTTAACCAAGAAAGATTTCCAGGGTGAATCTTAAAGTGCCAAAAGCTGAGTGTGTCAGGGCACTCAATAAATACATCTTGCCTGAGTCTTAAAAGTGTGCCCCTATTTATGGACAAGATGCAATTTACACATAAATCTAGAACTTCTTTTAAATTCTTCAAAGACGAGAGTGGTACAGGGCAGGGGATACCTTTAGCTCTACAGTGCCTGTTTCCAGCTTTCTTGGTCAGTTGGGCCCCTGCTGCTAACACCTGTGTTGAGCAGGTGCCTGATTCCTGCTCTCCCCCATGTGTCACAGCTGCTGCGCCCTGTCCTACAAGGTGACACCTCTCCCCCAACTGCCCCCCTCCTTGCAGCAGCATCTCTCAGCCCATCACATAGTGAGGCCCTAACAGTTGTAACCACATACTCCCTTAATAAATCAACGAAGACCTCTTTTAAAAAGTGGACACTACAATCAGTAGTCAAGTAGGAACTGTCTGGCTAGGCAGAGGACAAGAAGTTTCTATAGAGAATCTATCAGATGAAGGGGGTAAACCAAGATCACAAAGAAACGCCAGAGCAGGCAGACACACGTGAGAGTTCTAAGCTGCTCACGGAGAACAAAAGGCCCTTCTATAATGGACTGACAGACTCGTCAGAGCTAACGCTTCCAAGATATCAAGACAACAGTTCACTGAAATCTGTGACAGCACTTTGCATATAAACTGCCCCCATTGGACTTTAAGTGCAAAGGGTGGACAAGTTTCTGACAGCCCAGCCTCACCTTTAGCAGACAGACACTGTGTAAGAGAGTGGAGGGCCCGGTCATTTTCTCTTCCAGAGCTACAGAGAGATGGCTGGATGAAGAGCAGACTCTCACAGGACCCTCCCCAGACTCCTGAGGGTCATCTCTGTGCAGATCTGTCTGTTCTGTGCCCGAGGAAGCAAAACTTGAGAGTCCAGTAGCTCTTGAACTCTGCACGGCCAGCATGGTTTAGTTCCTCCCCAGGACCACACACCCTCCCTGTTCCAAAGAGACAGCAGTGTTTGCCGAGTGGGCCTGCTGCAGAAGGGGCAGGTAAGGAGAGGGGACAAAGATGCACCTGGAGAAGAGGACAGTCAAGATGGGAAGAGTGAGCTTTGAGCAGCTGAAAGCAGCACTGTTCAGACAGCAGAAAACCACCTCTGTGCAGTACATTTTCCAAGAAGATCAATACAAAAGGCAACATGGTCTTTCCCTTTCAAACACTGGCTTGTTTACTCAGGCCCCCAGACCCTCTTCTAGAGATCAGCAAGACATGAAGGAAATGTTAGGAGGGTGGCCCTGATCCGCCAGTCTAGTAACTGGGTCAGTAGGGAGGCTGGGATGTCCCAGGCCGGCTGTTTGCTACAGACCAAAGAACATGCACGTGGTGCCGCTCGTGAATGAGGTAGATGGTCATCCTCTTGTAGAGGGATCGGTGCCAACCCCCAGCACGGGCTCTCGCAAGGGGCTGCCTCGGATCCACAGCAACCCGCCAAGATGAGCAGGTTATTCCGAGAAAAGTCAGCCTCACAGAGCTGGACTCTTGCCCTGCGGCCTGCATACCACCAGCTTCCCCTGCTTCTAGACACAGCCAGAGAAATCAGACCCCTGGCTCCCCACTTCCACGAGTGCAGTCTTTGCCTGTCCTGCCTGTCACACATGCTTTGTGTCACCATGAGGATCTGAGAGGGGTGGAGTGGGGGGCTGGAAGAACAGCCCAGAGGGAGTATTAGATGGTTAACTGCACTGAAAAAGGGAGGAGGGAAGGTGGAAGGAGAAGACAGGTTGCAAAGCAAAAGGTTTAAAGCAGGTGAAGCTTAAAATCCTTTCCGGGAGGTAAAAGGTGGGAAGCAGAGGGTTGGGACTGGAGGGGAGCCCGGCATTACTTTCCATGCAAGTCACTTAGCTCCACGTCATCCTTTCGGCGCTTGTGGGTAAAGAGGGAGGTGACAGGGTAGAGCTTGGCCTTGGCCTGGAACCGGTGTCCCGCGATGTCAATCTCATACTCTCCCCGGTTGATGAAATCTGCCGTCACAACCTGTTCTTCCCCAGTATCTTCGGAAAAATTGTGCACAAAGCCCAGGCAAACGTGGCGCTCCAGGGTGTAGCTGTAGGCGCTGCTGGTGGTCTTGCCTGCGTACTGCCCGTTGCGGTAAATGGGTTCTCCCCACCAGGGCCAGAGGTCCAGGTCGGTGTCGTGATCGTCCAGAATGAACATAGTGAGGCGTTTGTACACCCCGTTCTGTTTCTGCTGCAGCAGGGCATCCCGGCCAATGAAATCCATCCCCTAGGAGAGAACGGCAATGCTGAGAGCAGGCTGACGTGCTGATGCTGGGCGCAGAAGGGGCGGTGGGTAGGGTCCCCTGATGTACCTGCCATGGGGGCAGCACCCCCACTCCCCAGATTTGGGGAAAATGTAGGTTTTCCACCTTGTGAAAAACTGCATTCACAATATAGAAGACCTACTCAGAAAATTTCTGTAACACAGGTGTACATTTTTCTCCTTTGTAAACATAGATTTCAACCACAAGACCACACAGAAAAAAAATACTTAGGAAGAAAAATTCAAAAATACTTGCTATAATTGTTTTCAAAAAACCATGTTTTTAGATAATCTCAAGAGAAAGCCCACACATGTATGTATTTGAATGTGCAAGAAACATGACCAGGGTAAAAAAAAACTCTAACTGATTATGTACAGATAAAATAGGTGATTTGGGGGGCACATGGGTATCTCGGTTAAGTGTCCAGCTTCGGCCCAGGTCATGATCTCCTGGCTTGTTAAGTTCAAGCCCTGTGTCAGGCTTGCTACCCTCATCTCAGAGCCTGGAGCCTGTTTCAGATTCTGTCTCCCTCTCTGTCCCTCCCCTGGTCACACTCTTTCTATTAAAAATAAGCATTAAAAAAAAAACTTATAAAATAGATGATTTTTAATTTTCTTCAAATTTTTCCCTATTTTCCAAAATTTAGTATTCATTACTTTTATACCTGAGAGAAAAAGCGATCTGTAATTGCTCACAAAGACGACTAGAAATCTCCCGTACTGATAGGGGTATTTTGTACTGCTAAGGTATTTTGTTAGGTTTAACCTAAAAAACAAGGTGTGGGGCACCTGGGTGGCTCAGTTGGTTAAGAGTCTGACTTTAGCTCAGGTCATGATCTCCTGGCTCGTGAGTTCGAGCGCCACGTTGGTCTCTGTGCTGATAGCTCAGAGCCTGGAGCCTGCTTCAAATCCTGTGTCTCCCTCTCTCTCTCTACCCTTCCTCCGCTCATGCTTTCTCTCTCTCTCTCTCTCTCTCAAAAATAAACATCCAAAACAAAACGGTGCAGTAATACAGCAGGCGTGTGGTGCCCAGCCATCCAGGTTCAAGTGGGGAAAGCGTTCGCTTGTGTGTTTGCATACTGAAAGTTCTCGAAGCAGAGACAAGCTGCTGCAGCCAGTAGTGCAGTTTGCTGGGCTTCAGAGGTGGGAAAGAGACTTGTCACTAACATCCTCTTGACCTAGGACTTTGTAAAAAATGATGTTCCTATTTACTCTGGGGGAAAAAAAGTCTGTTGAATGGAAGATTGATTTTTACAAATGTCTGTGGCACGTTCTTGGAAAAACTTCCCTGAAAGTGCCAATCTAAAAGGGAGCCGAGTGGGGCACACGGCTGCCGCAGTTGGTGGAGCAACTCCAGCCTCAGGGTGGTCCGGTTCAAAGAGCAAGTCAGGTGCTCAAAACCAGTGTTCTCCACATACCATGTTTTCCTATCAGGCCGGACACACTTTTCATCCTGAGGACTCCTCACTGTCTTCGTCCACCAGAGGCCCTTCGCGGGCCTCCGCTTCAGCCCTTCCTTGCTAGGGCAGAATGTGCCGATACCGTACCTTGTCCAGTTTCACCCGAGATTCTCGTCCACATTCCAGGGGTGTGGTGAGGGTGTTTAAATCCTGACCCCAGAAAGCAAAGAACTTCTCGATTCGAAGACTACGAAGAGCATAATAGCCAGCATTCCGGATTCCGTATTTCTGCCCAACACTCATCACTTCGTTGTACACGTGGAGGGCATACTAGAGGGAGAAACGAGAGGTCAGCAGCCCGCACACCTTCAGAATTCAACACGGAGTGTGTCTGGCAGCACCCAATGGGGGACACCATGAACCTCAACAAGCGAGGAGGGTGTATGAAATTCTCAGGTCGTCTCATCCTCGAGCAACTGAAGCATCACTGCCCAGGAGTAATGAGCCAGGGTCACCCTAACCCGACTTACACTCCATGGAAGCAAGAACCATAGCTTTCCCTTCTCTGTGGAGCCTGGGACAGGGAGCCAAGCACACAGCAGTCCTCAAATGAGAATCCTACACACACTCTCCCCACCCCGTCAACGGCCAGGCCCACAAGTGCCTCTCAGTCCGCTCAGCCACTGCGGCTCTGCTCTCGCCCCAACTCCCCACCCCATCCTCACTCGTGCATTGCCCGTGCTGGGAAATGTGTGTCACACAGGACCCCATGGGCCATGTCTGTTTTTTCCACAGATGGCACATCTCAGAGACGACCCCCTCTCCCCGCGCTCAAGTGACTGAGCCAGGAAGGCGGCGCACCCTACCCGTGTCCCACAACGGCCAGCCTCTCATGTTATTCTTGGTTCTGGAAACTGTAAGTATCAGACACCCTAAATAAAGTTTCCTCAACTGAAGGCAGATACTCATACTGTGTGATGTTTAAACGTATTCTGTGACGTCTAAAGCCTAGTAACAGACTACATTATTAGCTTTAATAACTAAAAAGACAAAATGACAAGAGAAATTAATTAGAGAAACGTCTCATGATCGCATTTACATGTACAATCGCAAACAACATGACCCAAATCTGCAGAAAAAGAGGCTGGAGTTGTTGTTGGCAGAGGTGGGGAGAGGAAAGTGGGGACTGGCGGAAGGGAGGCAGAAGGTACAAACTTTCAGTTACCAGACAAATGAGAACTAGGTATGGAATACCTAACCTGATGTCCGCAGCAGACACTGCTGTGTGACAAGTAACACAAGTTGTTACAAGAGTAAATCCTAAGTGTCTTCATCCCAAGGAAAAAAGCTTTTTAACAATGTTTATTTTTGAGAGACCTAGCCGGGGTGGGGCAGACAGAATTCCAAGCAGGCTCCATGCTGTGGGCTCGAACTCACAAATTGAGATGGTAAGGTGAGCCGAAATCAAGACTCAGATGCTTAACCCACTGAGCCACCCTGTGCCCCACAAGGATCTAGGACACACGAATCTATGAGACATAAATGGTGCAAAATGAAACTTACCACGGCAGTCATGTCACAGGGCATGTCAATCCATCACTCTGTGCACCTTAAACTTGTACAGTGATATATGTCAGTTATATCTCAATAAAACTGGAAGGACGGAAAAGAAACTGGTTTCACTGGTGTTGCAGTTCTGTACCCTGGCTGGGTCTGCTGCCCTGCGTGTTGCTCTCCTGCAGCCAAAGAGGCATCTACTGAATGGCCACGGTGGTCAGGACAACTTGAAAAGAGTTGTGGAAAAACAGAACCTGTGCTATTGAATCCATACACTGTGTGGCCCCCGTGCAAGTGACACACCTGAATGAGCAACGGTGGAGGCAGGAGGCCCATGGGGATGGACAGGAAACGAGAATAATCAAAAGCCAGCATCTCTGTTGCACTCACTGCTTCAGTGTCTCCAATTGAATCGTTAAGAGGAAGGCCAGGGAATAAAGATTTGAAGCAGGTAACTAGTCTTGGATTAGATGAGAAAAGCAGGTCCCCATCATATATTCCTTTTCTAGCTGTTGGGGATTTAGTGTGAGCCAAACAAGAACCTGCCATCTGTTCCCATGTTTTGGGGATGTTTTTGTTTCCCCTCAAAGAGACAAGTACAGTTAACATGGGTTTGAACTATGTGTGTCTCACTTCGATGTGGAGTTTTCAGTAAGTACAGTACATGACTGTAAATGTATTTTCCATATGATTTTAATAACATTTTGTTTTCTCTAGCTCACTGTATTAGAAGAATATACAACACGTGTAGCACACAAAACGTGTATTAACAGTAAGGCTTGCAGTCGATGGTAGGCTATTAGCAGTTAAGGTTTTTGAGGAGTCAAAAGTTCTATGTGGAGCTTTGACTGAGTGGGTGGTCAGTGCCCCTGACCCCCATGTTATGCCAGGGGCAGCTGTATACCCTTCTTGAGGACAGGAGCCAGCTTGTAAAGAACCCAGGCAGGGCACAAACCACCTTGTGGACTCAATGAAAATCATAAAAACAAGAGCAGCCCAGGAAAATGAGAAGTAGAAACCAAGGCCTCAAGAAACAAACCTGCTGGAGCCACTCTTGATCGAGTTTAGTGAATTCATGACAAGGGCACCCAGGTGACATTTCAGAACCAGCCCCTACCTGTACAGGGACAGCAGATCAGCTACATTTGTAGCAACTCTTCTCAAATTGTGAATAATCCCTTCATCTTAGTGTTGTTACAGTTGTCTCGACAAGCATATGGAATTTCATGGGCTAGTAAATTTGTGCTTCAGTTAGTAACTATAAGAAAGCCTAACCCCGTAAAAGTAATACAACTAATATCAGGAACAAGAAAGATGCCTACAATCCCTACTCCTTGTCACAACTGGACAAGAGAAAGAAATTGTAGGAATTAAAACTTAAGAAAGAAGAAAAACCATTACTGTCTCTATGATAAAACTGAACCCTGAAAATTCCAGGTACTCAACTAAAAAACAACTATAGTAAGATAAATTAGTAAAGAAATATAGACTAGAAAAAATAGCTTTCAAAAATCATAATCACTTAAAAGACAATGGAACAAAGACACCCTTCCCACTCACAACTAGCGACAACAAAATATTATTCAAGTAAACTTAAAAAATGTGTAACATCTATATAAGGAAAACTTCAAAATACCTCTTCAGGTCACCAAAAAACTTGAGTAAAACTAAAAGGCATTCTTTGTAAGATTTAACATATTTCGTCAATTCTCCCTAATATATAAATGTAACATAATCCAAAAAATACCAGCAGCAGTATAATTATACTAGATAATTATAAAGTTTCCAAAGGGAAATAAGGAAACAGGAATAATTTTTTTCCAGAGTTTCCAAGCTATAAGGGACAATAAGCACTAGCAGGTATTAAAATATATAATAAAGACTCCATAATTAAAATAGCATAATCCTGGATCATGAACAGATAAACCAAGGGAACAGAATAAAGGTCCAGAAATAAACCTGAATACATACAAGAATTTAGTATCTGGTAAGGGTACAATGTGAAAGCAATTGGTCATCCATGTGGAAACATGTGTGATCCATAGCTCATCAAGTACAGCAACAGACACTGCAAAAGGATGGCGCATTTAAATATTTAAAAAAAAAACAGAGGGGCGCCTGTGTGGCTTAGTGAACCCACTAAGCATCCAACTTCGGCTCAGGTCATGATCTCACAGCTTATGAGTTTGAGCCCCTCATTGGGTTCTGTGCTGACATCTCAGAGCCTGGAGCCTGCTTTGGATTCTGTCTCCCTCTCTGTTCCTTCCCCGCTCGCACTCTTGTCTCTCTCTCTCAAAAGATTTAAAAAAATTAAAAACAAAACCACAAACCCATACTCAGCAACACCACTAACTGTAAAAGTAATGGAAGAAAACTGGGAAAATTTTATAAGCCTGGAGTGGAGAAGTCCCTTTTATATATCAAACTCTAGAAGGCACAAAAGGCCGATCAACTCAATTACAATAAAAATAAAAAAATCTTCTGCAACATATGAAACATTTTCCTAATTTTTTAAAAAACCCTTCTACATGACAATAAATGAAAAGACAAATGACAAACTGGGAAAAAAACTTATAACTCAACAGCAAGGACTATCTGACTCAGACAATGCTCAGAAACTGGTAAACAGACCAATCATTCAATACAAAAATGTACAAAGGTATGACCGGAACATTCAGTTATGCAACATTTCTTAAACATTTACTATGTGCCAAATACTTCTCTAGGTGCTGGGGAAATAAAAGTTAAGACAGGCAAATATTTCTGCCTTCGGAAAACTGACACTTAAACAAGGATAACTTGCCGAACAAAGTAAAACAGATTTTATCAGACAGTGGTAGGCACTACAGAGAAAAAGAAAGTGGGAAGGAGGAGGGGGGAACCGGGGGATGGGGCCTCATCCAGCAGATACCACTCAAATAAGACCTGAAGCAGGCGCAGCTGCGAGAG